GCCTTAAGTACAGCTAACAAAGCGTCCTATGCACAGGATATAAAACAGCAAACTGACCTTATTCAACTTATAGATCATCCAATTAACAACTAAGACGCATCTATACAAAAAGATGAAGAGGATTCTTATATTTTCCAGCAAGAATGGCATAGAAACTGATACTGATCTCCTAGGGCAGGAAGAAAATAAATTGAAAAATATAATTTTCATCTTCATTGTCCTTAGTCCCATCACATGGCTGAGAGATCATCTCCCTCCCCTAAACATGCCAATACTGTACAATCAAAATTTGAGTGAATGGCTGAATCAGAATTTCACATTTTATTCTACCTCCAGTAAATATAAACTTCACATCAGAAAAAATACAATATAAACAGAATTCTCTGAAACATTTTTTAAGCCTTTCTCCTACTCTTACCACAAAATGAATGGTCTGACATTCACAAAAATAAAAAGGCCTTTTCTGACTTTGTGTGGGTCATTTTTGTTTAATATATTTATTTTTATTGTTTCATTATCAGTTGGCTAATTCTGCATTTCCTGGAATTGAAGGTATGGTTTTCAGCAAAAGGAAAACCACGTGTAACTTTTTTTTCTTTCTTTTCCTTTTTCTTTTCCTGCCTATTACTTTTAAGGAGTAGTGACAAGAGAACCGAGTAGAAAGTTATTTTAGAGTGACATCAGGAAGTCAGTAAGATCACCCCAATTTCCTATAACTAATCAATTTCAGTCCCAACTAATAAAATTCATTCTAACAAGGTAAGATTACAGAGTGGCCAGAGTCCAACATGAAAATGATTTGAATTTCAATGCATTAATATAACAAGACCTAATACGGTGCTTCTGTAATGTGCGACTTTTTTTTCCCACATACTACACTTGCCAGGATCCAATCAATGTTAAAGAAGGCACTCAGCTCCTTTTAAGATAGTATCAGCCTGGGATAAAGTTAATATGAAAGAATTTGCCCATGTCATACAATTATTTTCACTGTTCTATCAGAGTTCAATAAAGTTTTGTGGTCCTGTAACCATGCCTTTGCTCTTTTCTGACCCATTAACTCCGAAGGGGCTTGGGGAATGGCAGCAGTGTTATCTTTCTGAAAAGCATTCCACAGAAAATAGAGCAGATGCAATCAGAAAGCTCCAAGGAATGTGTAAGCATTCACTGTGGCTAAGACACACTATCTAAATATCACCTATAGGAAGATGGCAGGGTTTCAACAGGCACAACTGCAGCCCTGAGGCAGTATTAGCAGCCTAGGGCTGCTCCCATTGCACATATGCATCCTGCCAATTAAAAACTTTTTCACCTCTAATCTCCACAGAATTCTGCTGTGTATGGGTTCAGGAAGAAAAAAAGACGATATCTAAGTAAGTGCAGAGAGATTTAAAATGAATGATTTATTAAAATAAAACGACAGTAAGTGAATTCAATATTTATCCATTCTTTAATGTTATATTGGCAACTTTCAAGATTTGCTTGCACATCAGATATTTCATAAGACATAACCCTGATATTTAAAAGCAATAAAATATTTTAGTATGGAAGTAGACTACCTGGCACAAATACAATGAGTCTGTGATCTCTCTGAATAAATTACAATTTGGGATATTTTCTCTTCATTTAGAGGATAAATTTTTTAGCTCATGGTTATTTTCCAAACCACTCACAAATAGTTAAAATTAATATATGATGAAGTCTGTCTTTCTTGTGTTTTCTATGGCTATGTTTACTTTTGCTATTTCAATAGAATTACAATTTTCAAAGTACAGGACTTCAAAAAGTTTCATTGAAAATGCATTTCTATTTATGCAAAAAATATATAGTCACTTAAAAAGAAAAATCCTTTAAAACTGCCAAACCGCCAACCAGATAATGTCTGAAGAAAATAAACCAATAATAGCTACAGTTGTTACGAGAGGTTCTTTTGCTAGGAATGAAAAAGTTAAACAGTGTTACAAGGATTGGCACAAAGTCAGAGGCCTCTGAGATGACTTGGTTCAGAAGCAAGCCGAAATTACTGGGATGAAACTGCAGTGACAAAATGAGAAAAAAAAGCATTCTGACTCTTCACCACTGATAACAACGGAAGTCATTATTTATTTATTTTTCTAGCTTCAATAATTAAATTTTATAAGGATTTCCCCTCAGCATTGTTAATTACTTTAACTACTCCTCTCACCATTATTCTAGTTATAAGAATCATTGCAGCCACCAAAATAAAGTGATAGTTAATTGGGGAGTGAATAAATCACAACACCATATCTTTTCTAGCAGATGGACAATAGAGAAATGATATGGCTGCATCTGTGTGTGTATTGCTTTATCAGTCTCACACATAGCAATGAGCACCCTTACAAAGTAGAAAGGATGCAGAAGTAGATAAGGAAAAGCTGTGAAGCAAATTGCTGTTCCATAGCTGTCCTGTAGACTTACAGCATTGGGAAATGCATCCAATTCTCTTGGCAAAGGAAACATTATTCTATGCAGATCAGCTGTTCACATCTTACTCTGTAGCTATCTGCTGTGGAGACTATGTGATACGTGCTTTCTTATATTGAAACTTTCTGTCTTTTATTTCTATAATGACTTTTTTTTTTTTTAAATAAACTTGGAACTGTTCATGTATGAGGGAAAGCAATGGTCTTTCAGAATCACTGGGGTTTAGTTGAACAGTGAAAGATACTCTTGCAGATTGGCACAGGACATAAGGATACCACACACACACACTTCTGAGAAAAATCACCTCCTAAGGTTCCTCCTTTAGGACCTGCCTCTGGCCAAGCACTAGTTCAGCCAAGCCACTCTGTGTGGCCCATGGCTGGTGACGCGTTGCATTAAATGTTATGGATACTTGATTTGCTAAGGACTGGCAGAACCCCTCTGAGGGGTGAATCCTTTCAGAAGCAAAAATTCAGTACATTCTGCCACCATTTTATATAATTTCCTAATTCAACAGAAAGAAATGGAAGGAAAGGCACACAAATGTGCAGAACACAGGAAAAAAAGTCAACTAACTTATTTGAATAATATGGATATTTCATATTCTGACCTCAATCATTGGTTACAAGTTCTTGTTTGGGAAAATAAAAGGCCAACACCAAAAGTAAAATATTTGGAAATTCCAGTCACCCTTCCTACAAATTACTTCCTGTTTCACAGAAAAAAATCCATTTCTGCCCTTCCCAGACATTATGCAAACTGCAGTAGGTTTTCTGTCACCATTACTGTCTTATAGTTTTCTATACAACAATTTCAATGCCCACAGATTGCTGAAATATGGTAGAACTAGTCAAATCTGCACTTGTCCTTTCTATTTCCAATCTACTACAACTTCTAGTCTGGCAGTATTAGCTGCTGTTTCAGAATTATACTATTAAAAACCACAGGCACTTAGGAGTTGTTTTTAGTGGTATTTTCTAATTTGTATTACGATTTGGACATAAATAATACAGTGCTGATTTTTCGAAGGCAATAACTTGCCACTAAGAAATTGCATATATTGATTTTCTGACAATAAATATTTTGAATCCTCAAACAATTCACACAAGAGAACCATAAAAACTGGATTATTTCATTGTTCTGCAAAAACTGTTTCATCCTACCAAAAACTATCACACATATCCAGCAGACTTCAGCTCAGTCAGGAGTCCAATTAGCTTCTGAAATACTGTTCTCCAAGTAAATTCTCATATAATTTCCAGAAAAGCTATACCATTTTGTCATAAAAAGAAGTAACCCGAAATATATATTCATGAATGTTTTTTTCCTGAAATATTTTAAAACCAGTACCAATTTTAAGACAAATATTTCTGCATTGTTCCACAAAATTCACACGTTGCATGTCAGTTTAGAAAGTAACATATCCAGCAGCTAAAGTGAGTAAAATACATTATCAGATCCTACTACAGGTGAAAACATGCAACTAAAATCATCTTCTAAACCAATAATGAAATCAAGCCTTAGTTCCAGGGCAGTCAAGGTTAAATCCAGATGCTTTTAAATTTAGAAGAAGCCAGATTATCATCCATATGCATATTTTTGGCATCAATGCTTTTTCAAGCTTGCTGTGGGGGCATTTCCAGTTTGATTTCAGTTCCTTAGTTCAGATCATGACTTATTTCCAACCCAGTTCTGTTGCTATATGAACTATTTCAATTAGGGCAACAACACAGAATTCTCCCTTTTTTCCTTTCTTTAAGAGCAAATTCAATTGAAAGGCTATCAAAATCTTGCCTTCCTAATATGTAACATTTGTTTAGTTTTCAAATGATACATCTGATATTATAAGTGTTTACTTTTCAGCACTTGCACCAGACCTTGCAATTAGAGATAGCCTGACACATGATTAGCAATGTCAGTGAGCTGCATTATTAATTTTTTTTCATTATTCTACTAAAACTGTAGTATATAAGAAAATAATGACTTCCTCTAGAAATATAATTTTGCAGCAATTACCCTGCAATTACAGCATGACTGTCAGGAAAAGAGCACCTAGTACAGCTCCTGCCTTGCACAAGCACCTGGCACAATAAGTGTGGAAGGAGTGCAGAGGACCATCTCAGTATCTGCATATATATGAATAATATCTGAATAACAGGAAAAAAATCAGCATTATGATCATGAATTGATTTATAACCAGTGGTACAAGACTCACTGGCAGAAGGACTGTGAAGTGCATAATTTTACACGATGTGTTAACATGCACTGGTCTTGTGTAGTGGTTTGCTTGGAGAAGTGCTGCTGATGTATGAATAACATACATGTAATGTACATTATTGCTCAGACTGACGACTGAATGATGATTTTATGTAACGCAACGAAAGTTTGAGTTTACATTATTAAATCAAATCCATGTAGGCAGACTGTAACACTATGAATACCAACATGCTTTTTCCTTGTGTGTACTAAAATAAAATAAACTGTTTCATTACCCCAAATCTCATTAAACATTTAGCAGATGAAATTCAACCCAGTATAACTTGAACTTACTATACCTCACTAAACTGTTGGCAGTGTCAGGATCTTGTGCCGTCACAGTGCCAACAGGTGTCCCGATCTTTGCATTTTCATAGACTTCCATGAGATAGGAAGGCATAGTGAAGAGAGGAGGTTCATCAACATCGCCAACTATGATCTTCAGCATTGTTACATCCTTGAATGGTCCCAGGTGCGAAAAGCGGAAGTCAAGATGAGTATTTGCCCCTTCTATATTAAGCGTATAGGATTTCTTTTTTTCATAGTTGAGAGGCTGTTGGCAGAAAAAAGTATTTCTCATTACCATTCTGTGCTTCAGTTTAGCCTGGTAGCTAACTATATCTTTTCAGTTTAGTTTGGTAGCAGGTTACTGTGAAGGGACAACATTCTGTGATATTTCGACAGTCATTGACATACACTCTAAGTAGAAGGTTATACATGGAGTAGGATGACTCAGGTTTTCTCTCCAACAGAATTTTGTTCTGGGAGAACTTAGGATTGTGACTGAATGTCAAATTCTTCTGTGATAATGCAGTCTCTGGATTTTATCACTCTTCAAATTTAGTGGTCATTGCTAGATGCTTAAAAAGTATTCCAAATTAAATTAATTTCATACCTTTAATTAACATGTTTAATAGACAGTGATGGGGATTTAGAATTATTTTGGGCACCTCTTCTCTTAAACCTCCAACTGAAAAGCAACTCCTTGCATGAAAACACTCTTGTAATACAATAAATTTAAATACGTAAGGATGGCCTGAACACATGCATGCATGCTTTTCTAAAGAGAGGCAAATGAATGGTGTATACCTCTAGTCTAGACTCTTTTATTTTAAATTCTTTACCAGCAGCAACCTGAGGGACAACCTCTCAGTCTGTCTTACTATGTGCTGCTTCGTTGCACATGTATTAAATGGCCATAAGTGGAAAGAAAGTCTGCAGCTGTAGACGTGTCTTCTACAAGGTGTAATGTTCAAATAAAACCCAACAGAAAGCAAATCCCTGTCTGTACCATCCACAAGAAGTGCTACTGCCACTTTAGTCTTACCTTTAAAATTAATTAATGATTTTAATAAGATCAATTAAAATTATCAATTAAGGTATTAAAATCAATAGATTCCCATTAGGAATCGTACAGCTCCACTAGGAAGAAGTCGGTTTAACTCATGTATCACATAGCACTTCCTTTCTTAGGAGTAGTATTTCTAGTTAGCTATTTACATGACAACATTTTATCTGTTTCACTCCTTTTATATCTCTTTTAATCCTCTGAAATATTTTAGGCTTACTAATAAAAAAAAAAAAAAAATGATGGCCTTGCAAATCATGAAAATGAAATTCATATATGCAGATTCAGTTGCACGCTGTTAAATAATAAGTTTTATGGACAATATTTTGTTACAGAGACATTGAAATTAATATTAAAATCAGGAGCATGAACTGGCTAATAGTCTTCAATTTTTGTGTAAAGCAGTAAGTTATGAAACCTTTCACTGCAGTTAGAACCAGCCTGAGCTCACAGGACAGGCCATGACACACCCCACTCCCAACTCCTCCAATATTAGATGGTTACATAGTGGGGGTGACTGAAAGAACCACAGCTATTTTGGGCTGTTTTCTTTTACATCACTAAAATAATTTACTACTTTTTATGGAGAGTAAATCACGACTTTACTGTGAGAAGTTACCTTTTCCATATATTGTTTGCTGGTGTTTATTGCTGAAATGTCTATAAAAATACATTTTCCATTTACATGCATTAAACATGTTAAGATACTGATCTCAAAACCAGTAAGAAATAACAAAAACTGCATTACATGATGGATTGTACAAATTCTACATACAATAGTTTATAACCTGAGAGGTCAACATTTTTTTTGGTTTTGCAGAAAAGGATAAATGTGTAAAAGAACTATACTTGTACTATACTGACCGTAGGGACTAAATGCAATGATGAGGACAAGGCCAACAGGAGAAGAGCCTGAGAAAGCAGCCATAAAACAAGGCACTTTGGACCAAAGCTATTTAAATGTACAAGCATCAAGACCAATCCCTGTTGCAATTTTTTGAACTTTTATCAGTATCTGTCTGCAATTACATGAAGTTCAGCAAGTTTCCACAAATCAGATAGACTCATGAGGGTATAAAGAATGCCAAGTGGTCATTCATCAGTTTCAAGAAAATATGTAATTTCACGCAGTCACTGAATAGGCTGCTAAACTTCACAGTGTTACATTTTAAATGCATTCCTCTGAGTGCATTTAAATGTTGAGGAAAAGTCCCCTTATGTGATAATAAATACCTCAAGACTTTACTGGGCTACAACTTTCTGCCTTCAGTTGATTTATAAAGAAGGATAGGTAGTTAATACATATTGCCATGCTGAGTAAAGCAGATAGTTTGTACAGAAATGTACTACCAGTAAATTTCAAACAGACTCAGAACACAGCATAACAATAATTTGCACATTCATGTAATACCATTCTACTACAGAAATTTATCTCAGTAGAAAAATAGATCTCAAAATATTTTACAAAGTAAATGTATATTCTTCTCTTTCACCTCCTGTGCCATGCTTTAGTCCACATCCCACAAGGTCAATGATCTAACTGGAATCCCCACAGGTAGAAATTTTGGTGTGACAGAATGTCATAAAAATCAATGTTGTTTTGTGTGGACCTGAAGCCTGACTGAACAGAAATCAATGGAAGTGTTCAAGACTTCGATCAATGATAAATTCTTATTTCCTATCACACTAGAGAGTTGAAAAGAATTACTTAAGCCAAGAATTATGAGGAACTCAATGTGTGATTTATCAATGTCTGTATATTTTGTAGATAAAATCTAAAGTAAATTTGACTGTTGATGTATAAGAAATATAGCTGGTGAGGATTTATATATATTTCTTTGATTTCTCCTCTTTGTGTTGAAGAAAAACAATTTAATTCTCTTAAAAATAATAGTATGAAACATTTTTATTTCTCATCTCCCTTTCTTGAATGTACAAATAAAAATACTAAAGGCGTGAAAATTTACCATTATGAGATAATTTTTTGCGATGAAAAAAAGCTAAAAATACTACTCCTAATAGGTCAATTCATACAGAAATATATCCAGTAAATACAATTTTATATAATCTATACAATTTCATACTCTAAAATTCTCCAATTTTAATTTAGATGACATTCATCTACTTACACTATATTACTGCTATGAACAGGTCAAATATTAAATAATTATTTGCACTGCTTTGTAGCATATATACTCTAAGATTAAACAAATTCAAAATAGGATGGCAAATTTTAAATAGAAGATTTGGGAAAATAAAATTTATACTGACAATATTTGGATTAAGTTGTACAAGAACATTAATTTCTCTCAAAAAACATTAGGCATAATATGGATCCTAAAGTCTTGTTTTCTCTTCTGTAGTTATTCAATTGGACAATATTAATGTTTTTTATTTAGAAGTACATTCCAGATAATCAGAAAAAGCTGATGTTTCAAGAAACCTAAGTTTTTAAAACTATAGCCAGAGCAGTTTTTTTTCTCTTAATTTTCTTTAGTCTTCTTTCCACAATTTCTGCAAAATAAAAATCCTACACTTGCGCACAGGAAAAAAAAAAAAAAAAAAAAAAAAAAAAAAGGAAAAGCCTACACTCCTGCACAGTGATTCACATAGGTAAAGAAAAAAAAAAAACAAAAAAAACAAAAAAAACCAACAACACTACTTTCAACATTTTGAGATATCTTGGAGAAAAGATACACACTGTGCTACAGAATACTACTACCAGGGGTCCCAATTAGTACTAATTTTTTGGTTTTGTTTGTTCTCTCCTGAGAAGTAAGGAACTTTTCAATCAAAGGAAGCCAGATTCTACATATTTGAAGCGCTCACAAATGTTTTTCATTGTATATTTGATAAAATATTCAATAACTGAAATCTGTTTGCAATTTGAATGTACAGAATTTTATTTTGTTGGAATACTACTTAAGATACTGTATTAAAATTGACATTTATGTTACATTTACAGTTTGTCCAATGCTGTGCTAAGAACTTCGCTCATCTGCTGTCTCAGGTGATCTGTGCTGTTTAGCAGTAGAAGGAGAGAATGGAAGTATTGCACACAAGCTTGTGACTTGTTAAGTGTTACATCTCTCAGTTGAAATAAAACATTAACCAAGTAAAATGAACCCCTTCTTGTCTTGATAGGAAAAAGACTCAAGTTTCTGTCATGTGTATGTAAAGGAATAAGAAACATATGCTTTTATCATATTCTAAAACACAGAGAAATGTCTGCCAACAACAATAAGAAACAGTATTTTACATACTCAATATAAAAACTACTTTGTTTTGTTGAAGATTCTTCCTTTGTTCTTCACATTCTTAATATGCATCTCTTTTGTACTTAATGAATAATAGCCACGGTGAACTTTTAAACAGAACAATGTTCATTTTGAGGAAGCAATAACAGATTATAGCATCACCTCCATCTAGGCCACCATGAGCTTCACTGGTATAAAAAAGTCAAGAGTTTATTTTTATGGCTGAAAGGCTAAAATACACTGAATTGAAGTTTTTTATGACTCCGAGAAAGATAGGAACCATTTTAAATCATTATAAATGATGAAAATAACATTTCCTTCAGTTACAAATACATGCATAAATACTTATCCAGATGCAAAAGAAACACATTTACTACAATGTTGTAATTTTTTTAGATTCCCTTTTCTCACAATATCTCTTTAAGAGGTTCTGGTTTTCATCCTTCCTAGCTTCAGTTGAGCACAGAATACATGAGCTAAATATGAATGTCAATTCACTACCATTTTTTAGGGCACATGGATATAATTGCTGCCTCAAAACAGTAACAACAAAGCCATGTGAGAATTGATAATTGAAATCTGTTAGCCCAAATGAAAAAAAAAATAATAATAATCAAGAAAGGATTTCCCTTGTTGGAAATATTTCAAAAAAACCTTTTAAAACATAACAACTCAACTTTCTGTACTATTATTAAAGTAAAGTCAGTTTTATTCATAGGATATTAACATAAATAGGCAAGTATTTTAGGAAAGATTTGCTGTGAACTATGTCAGGGGGTTTAATACACAGATGAAATTATCTGTGGAATTATATTTTTATACGGAACTTAGTTAAGAGTGAACTTAAATGGCAAGAACACTTTATTATTAATAGTTTAAATAGACAGGGATAAATGCAGGAAATACATATAATAGAATCACAGAATCATAGAATGGTCTGGGTCTAAAAGGACCACAGTGATCAACTAGTTTCAAAACCCATGCCATGGGCAGGGTTGCCAATCACTAGACCAGGCTGCCCAGAGCCACATCCTGCCATCCAGCCTCGAATGCCTCTAGGGATGGAGCATCCACAACCTCCTGGAGTAATCTGTTTCAATGCATCACCACCCTCCGTGTGAAGAAATTCCTCCTAATATCTAATCAAAATCTCCCCTGTCTTAGTTTAATACCATTCCTCTTTGTCCTATCACCACCTATCCATGTAAACAGTTGTTCCCCCTCCAGTATATGCTCCCTTCAAGTACTACAAGGCCACAATGAGGTCTCCCAGGAGCATTCTCTCATCCAAGCTAAACAAGCCTAGTTCAACCTTCCTTTGTAGGAGAGGTGCTCCAGCCCTCTGATCATCTTAGCGGCCTTCTTTTGGACCTGTTCCAAGACTCCTGCATCTTTCTTATGCTGAGGGCCTGGACACAGTATCCTAGATGGGGCCTCACAAGAGCCAAGTAGAGGGGGACAATCTCCTCCCTCTCCCTGTTGGCCACCCCTTTCTTAATGCAGCCCAGGATACAGTTAGCCTTCCAGGATGCAAGCCCACACTGCTAACTTATGTCCACCTTCTTATCCACCAGGACCTTCAAGTTCTTCTCTGCAGGGTTGCTCTCTAGTTGTTTTTCCCCCAGCCTATATAAATAGCTGGGACTGCCCTGATCCAAGTGCAATACTTTGCACTTGGTCTTGTTGAACCTCATTAGGTTCTCATGGGCTAACTTCTTCAACCTGTCCAGGTCCCTCTGGATGACTTCCCTTCCCTCCAATGTATCAGCTATGTCATTCAGATATATACTGTAACTGTGTGATGTTTAGGCTAGTTAAGTTTTGAGTCTTTTTGAGTTAGCGTCTGTACTATACAATGCAAAATACTTAGCACAGTAGATAGCCAGCTAGGAAGAAATTCAAGTAACAAAGGTATATGAAAACTTAAGTATACATTCATTTCCATAGATAAGCTTTCCATATAAAATTTCATCCATTTCTGTACAACTTAAAGCCAAATTTCTTTTTTTTTTTTTTTTTTTTAAATGAAATTTGATGAGTAAAACATCAAAGTAAAATTATTTACCCAAAACAAACAAACCAACCAACCAAAGAAACCCACAAATTATATGTTTCTGTCTTTGTTTTTTTTTTTTTCTCCCTGCTCTCTCTGAAATGGCTTAAGATGTTCTACAGAGCAACATGGATAAACTTACACTGCCGAATTTAATAGGGTGACACAGAAAAAAAATAATTACAGCACCTGCTTATTTGACATTCAACATAATATTTTTAATGACATACTCCAGCAACTTTCAATATCTGCTGCTTACCTTCTTCAGGGAAAGAATTCCTTCCCGTGTTTCTTTGTCAGTGGATATGGAAAACACCCCAGCACCATCACCATTTATAATTGTGTACTTCATGTCAGCATTTGAGCCAGTGTCTGCATCATTTGCCTTGATTTTGCCAACTGCTGATCCAACCTGAGCTGATTCAGGAACATAGAGCTGATAATGTTCTGAGGGTAAAAAACAAACGAAAAACAGCTTGGACGTTTTTTAGCCAAACTAAATTAAAGAACCTTTATGTGCGCAATTATCCTATGAAAATGGATAGTACTTCATAGAGAAAGCAGACAAATAAAACTATGAACATATTTAGGTTCCCTAAAGATTCCAAATGGAAACTGTACCTTCCATAGGATAGCTTAGCTCAAAATCCAAAAGACCTAAAGCAGGATTTGTTTTTTTTTTTTTTACAGCTCTTTTTGCTGCTCATCACATATCACAGAAATTAACTCTGAACTTTACTTATAGAATTTTTACAGTATTTTTAAAAGTTTACCTTCTCTATAGTCTAAATATATACACCTTCAGCCAGTTACCACAAAATGAGTAAGCACAGGAACATATTTCATCTAGAAGAACTTTGCATACTATATTAATGATTTGTTTTCCTGAAATTTTATCATTTGTCTTAGTACCTTTGAATCAACACATTTTTTGCAACAGAAAAATGTAATAAATCCTTAATACCTTACCATTATTGCTTACCAGAATTGTCCTTTTGCACATATTTTCCCCTTGGTATCCAAAATAAAGGAAAATGAACATAATGGGTACATAAGTGAACTAGAGAATAGTGACTATAAAAAGCACCCTTAACAACTTTTAGTGTTTTTATCTTAGGTTAATAAATGGAAAATAAATTTTTTTGGATGATAATTTTCTTAACTGCGAGTATCATTTTGGCATAAATTTTATGACAGGTACAAAGTTCTTATTGGGACACAAAGGTTCTACAAAGAGAAGAAAGTCATAAACAGGCACGATACAATTATGTAAAACTCAATTTCCATCTGAAACTAGGCCAGCAAGATGGCTTAAAGACATTTTCTCCAATAATGTTAGTGCTATAAGACAGCAGGGATGTTGAAACCATAGACTTATAACAACAGAAGTTATGAACATACAAAAATCCCCTCCAAAGATAACTCATTTATGACCCTATCAAGCATCTGCAGAGTTTATATCACATGTCAACCTCCAACACAGAAAAAAAAATGGCAAAAAGTCAACCTCAGTTACTACATATCTCATGGAAACTCTAGAATTTTTTCTAACTTCTTAAAGCATTCTGCAATACTGAATGCAATAGTGAAACACTGAGGTGCAAGAGAGTGGATAAGTATATTCTAAATAACAAAGCTAACATAGTTACAACTTGCTGGGTTTAAACCAGCTAGTATGACTGCAGATGTACCTCAGTAAGCACACAGAAATAGAAAGTTTTAAGATGAACTCAGAGATTCTATGATTACATGTGTATTATGGCAGAAAAACATTGACTGGTGAATTGAAGAAGCCTACAAATCTACAGAAGTTTCAACTGCAAAGGGAATGCACATTACTGCTAAAATAATTTAAGGCACTGGTTAGAAAATAGATGATTTTATTAATAATTTCTCTAATTCGTTGCTCAATGGTTCTTAAACCTTATGATAGCCAACTGTTTTCGCAATACTGATCTATAAGAATTAGTAATTAATACTAATACACATAAACAGAAAGATAGATGAGTGCACAAAATGTGATAAAACAAAGAGAAACAAAAAAGAGTTTTACTAGGAAAATAAAGGACGGGTTACAAAAAAAAAAAATCAAGTTAATCTCAAGAAAACAATAAATGTCCAGCAAAACAAGTGAAAAAGTAAAACCTATTATGCAAATCAGAAAATGGCAACTCTGATGCAGTGAAAAAAATTCTGCTCAATCGCTGATTCAATTAAAATACACAGCAGATTCTTTGACATGCGTATAAAAGCCATTCTTACAAATTTTGATATAAATGCACTGCATTAAATTCTAATGCAATGTTTTATGCATATGGATGACATCAAGTGACATTTTCACACTGCTAGTTGCTTTATTTTGTACATAAAATTATAGTGATGAGATTCATTCTGGAATTTATTTATTGTAAAAAAAAAAAACAAAAACCAAGGAATGCTGTCTTTTGACACTTTATCTCTGACTAATGCATGCCAAAAAAAAAAAAAAAGAGGCCATAAAGAATGTTACATAATCAAGACACTCCAACAACTGGAAGTGTTATATCCCATATGATAGGGTGAACTAATTAGAGACTTCCAAATAGTTAAGCTCTTCAAACATACCCACATGACACTACACTTTGCTTTATAATCACACCCCAAGTGTTAGCCATCTGTTTCAGAAAATCGTGTTACTGATATCAAATTCAAACATTCTGAAATTCTAAGCCCTCAAGGAAAATAAGTATCTGGAATCACTCACTTTTTAGTTACCTGTCAGTATTTGTAGAATTGAAATGCTTTGGGAAAAAAGTTAAAACAGTTGCAAATTAAAACTGCTGCATTAAGAGGTCAGAAATGAGAATTTAACCATTGCTTCACATAGAGATCGTGAAAGTATGTAACACTGAAGTGAGCCACTCAGTAATTACAAGCAATATTATCTAAAAATGACACAGAAGAGGTTAGGATTTGGCAACATGAAGGTTAGATAAATAAATAAATAAATTTACACCAGAGGTGGAAATCAGAAATGTTCTTTCCAATCACTAAATAGTTGTAAACTTTATTACTGGAAGGTACAGGAATGAACCAGTGACATAACAGAACATTTCCCTGGGCATGAACTACATTCTGATAGGGCATTCAACACAAAAGGTTTGTGGGATGAGTACGCTATGAATTCATGATTTGGTACCACAAACTACGAGTTTGTGTCATTTCCTAAAATCTGACTGGACACTGAAATTTTTGATACTGTTCTGTATCAAAACTGTTTCATAAAACCCGCATGTGTTGAACAGATTGTTTCCACGCTCCCAGCATCAGAGGCTTCCAGCGGCTTCTATAAGGAAGAAATTTCAAAGTCTTCATGATGTTCTATGTTGCTTTAAGAGGTGGCTTGGCAACTCATAGATCATAATTCTGAAAAGGCTGATTTGGTTCTTAATGTAATGCTAGCGTTCACTGGGATGCATTCACGTGGCTCATGAAATTAATGCTATTTTCCTTTCAATGTATTGTAAAGAATAGTCATACAAAGTTTTTATGCTAATTGAAATACTGTTCAAATACACATAAGAGATCTTATTTCTTTCAATAAACTGTGTGGCTTATCTGTCATTACAGTACAGAAACAACTTAAAGATTTGTAGAATGATTTACTTCCCATTTCAGTTAGCCTACAGGCAACCTATAATGCTGTTTTACTCTCAGAAAAACAATTTTTTTGTCTGAATCTCTTCAAAAAATAAATATGACAATATATACAGCAACTCAACAAGCAGATCATACACTGCATTTATTAATCTATTTTTTGTGATAAATTTGAATTACTTTTCTAACTTGTAACATTCTCTGGAACAGTAAGAATTACTTTTCTTAGTAAAGGAAGACGCAGATGCAATACTGGGCTGACAGAAAAATAAGTAAATATTTGACTAGATGCGATTTGCTTATCTAAGAGTATAGTTTGAATAAGGTTTACTGATTGTTGGTAGTGGTGGTTCTTTTTTTATTCCTGGTAGTAGCACAGCCTAGATTGTACTCTCATTTAGGCTTAGATTTATGAAAAGCATGAAAATTAAGGTAGTTCTGAAGAGCATCCCTTAAAATTGTGCAGTCCTATTTCCATTTCTTCACTCAGTAAACAAACGAGAACTCGCTTAACTCTCCAAACCATTACTGCCTCAAACATCAGAAACCATATGGGATGAAAATGATTTCAGAGTACTTCAAAATGGTTTTGTTTGATTTTGATATGTATGAGATATGCATTGAATAATCTATCTTGTACACAGAAATCCTATGATACCTAAGAAGCGAAATACAAAGCACTGCTAGATTCCATATACTTACTGTTAGAAGTAAAGTTGTGGCATGAAGTTGACATTAAAGCTCTCTATGTCAAACATATATTGTCCATGTATATTTAACCAGATCTGATGTAAACATACTTCTACCCCTCCTAGATTCCTTTTATATTTGAAATCTATAAAAATGTTATCAAAGTTTCATGAATTCTTGTTAATGGAGAATTTTATAAAAACGTTTAACTGAAATAGTTCTCTTGCTTTAAGAACATGGAAAAAGCACAATATTTGTTAGCACCAGAACTATGACATGACTGTAATTCAAATATGAACAATATCCAATTTTAATAGCTAATCCTGATTTTTAATAGCAAATCCTAAGATGTACATTCCCCATGAACTGCGCTGCCAGAATTTAAGTTACCTGAAACACAGTCCTAGCAGCATTCTAATCAAAAGAAAATCTTCCTACCTTCCTTTCATTCTGCAAATAACTAAAAATCTAACTTACACAGATACCATTATGCTTTCAAAAGTCCTTACTGAACTACTGTTTACATCTAATCAGCACTAAAAGCTACAACTATTTTTTTGCAGAAAAATTATGATATTAACAATGTCTAAATATTAACATAGAAAAAAAAGAGCTTAGATTTTCTCACGAGTCTACCAGTTAAATTGTCTTATGATGACTTAAATTACAAAACAGAACGAAAAAAAAAGAAGCTACATTTGATTTCAAGCTGTTTCAAGCATAAAATAAAGCAATATAGGCAGCTGTATTTCTCTATCACCTACAAATACATGCTTTCCTCTATGAAGTGTGTAGAAACTACTTAATCTTTCAGTGAGAGATTAATAATAGCCTTCTAGAAGATTGATCATGCACACTAGGCTCAAAGTACTTGAGAATACTACTTATCCAAAGCACTGTTTCTGAACCTGATTTTGCTTCACTTCTAGGAAAGAAGAATGTTCTTCTGTAAATACTAGACTGGAAAAAATAATCAAATAAAATGACTATCATTTAAATTTCTTTAATCAACATGGCATGTATGCATGGAAAAAACGTTGGTAATGTCAAGACTTGAAACTTTCTTGTACAAAATATGTAAACTATGACTTAAAAAAAAAAAATACATGTCCCAAATCATGAACCATCGGAAAAAAAAAAAAAAAAAAAAAAAAAAAAAAAAAAAAAAAAAAAAAAAAGCTAAATACAGTATTACAGAAAGCTCACATGTGGAACACTGAAATAAGAAAAATGAGAAATGAAATTTCAAGATTAGCAGTTTAAGTTTTGAAGAACGAGTGTGAAGTTGTTAGGACATCCAGAAAAAAATGTTCTGAAGAACAGAAACATCAGCCTTTTGTGGAAGTCTGGCTTCAAATCAGCTTTCTACTCTGACTTAAGGTCTTTTTGAAAGACCTAAGTATGTATTCAGCAATTACTGATACTTGGGTCTTTTCCATTTTACAAAGTTTTAGTATACTGGGACAGTCACAAAGGCAGTATGCATTACAGTGTGAAATATGAAAAAGACACACCTCAACATACTAATAAAAAATAATCTCATTAAACGCACAAAATTTAAACATAGAACAGTCTAGGAAATTAAATGCTTCCTAATACTCCCTGGCCGCTGAATTATCACTGGACTTACCATCATCTATCTCATAAACAATACAATGAAAAGTAAACTAGATAATTAGATATGAATCAAAGCTACAAAAATTCAACTCTAAAATGGAGAGATATGGATTTGAAGAATGGACTATTTAGTGGATAAGGAATTGGTTGGAGGTCGCAACCAGAGGGTTGTGGTCAAAGGCTGTATGCCCAGGGGAAGCCATTTATGGGTGGTGTTGCCCAGAGGCCCATCTGTGGTCAGGGAGATTTATATTAGATGTCAGGGGGAAGTTTTTTACTGAGAGAGTGGTGAGGTGCTGGAACAGGTAGCTCTGAGAGGTGCTGGATGCCCTGTCCCTGAAGGCCAGGTTGGATGGGACTTCGAGCAATCTAGTATTTGTTCTAATGGGTGGCAACCCTGCCTGTGGCAGAGAGGTTAACAGAGGGGGTAGAACCTGATGATCCTTAAGGTTCTTTCCAGCCCAAGCCATTCTATGGTTCTATATCATAAAATGACATTTTAAAAAAGTGAGGTAAAACAAATTTTGCATATACATATTTTCATACTATTTTTATACAATGCTATAAAACAACACAGTTTCAACAATCAAGCTTTATAAAAACTCTTTCCTTCGTGAATTATATTTAAATTCCACCTTATCCTAAAGAACAGAGTTAGACGTATGAAAGAAGAAAATCTACAAATGGGGAATCAGGAAGTTATTTCCTTGTAAAACTGGGCTCAAGACATAATGCTATAGATCTACTACACACTATCTGGACTGTAGTCATTAGCATTTGATGTACAAAACATGTCAGTGTAAGCATCTGCCAAGTGTGATGATCTTGATGCAATCAAAATGTATTCATCCTAAACAAAGGAAAAACATGTCTAATCTACTCATTCTAAGCAAGACCAGAGAGAATTAACAAAACAGAAGTATACAGAAAATTCTTATGTAAATCAAGCTTGAAACAACTTTTCATCAGCAGATGAAAATTCATTAACAGATTACTGAAGTAAATTTATGACTATGAAATTTTTGCCTTCAACTATCAGCCAAATACATCCATCAATGCTAAAACTGACAAGAACTGAGTGATGCTGATTACTGATATGACCTTCCCATGCAGAGCACTGTCTGCCAGCTTACATTACATAGCTAGCTCGTGTATAACTAGACTCTAAAAAGAAGAAACGTGTGGTAATAAGGGAAAATAAATAAGAATTGTATAAGATGCAATAAGCAGATGAAAAGCAAAATGCATAGAAAGATTCAGTTCACGATTCTGATGAATTTACAACCCCTTGCCTACTTCCGACACATACCACTGTGTTTTGCAAACAGAATTTTTCAGCTATGCATCTTATTTCAGAGATTATTACTACCATGTATTCACTTCTATTTCAGAACTGCAAACACACCAATCCGTTTATGCAGAAGGCTTCCATAATCTTCCTTATAGTCTTTTTGGTACTTTGGAACACTGTAGCTCTTCTAATAATTTCTTTGGAAAAGGTCAGTTATATTTTGAGTGAGCACAGAAAAAATACAGTAAATTCATATAAAAAGATAGATTTATAATTTCTTATTCAGGTTTCAATTAGTTTTTTGAAGAATTTATTCACAAAGGACAAATCTAGCTTACCCTAGTCCATATGCATGAACTCCTATCTACAGGGCCAGAAAGATAGACCTTTTAAATGCATACAGTAAAGTGCATTTCTAGATAAAACAAATAATAGAAGCACCAATCAGACATGCTTCCTAGCTTGTACTGTACTCATACAGTTACAGTCAGATTCACAACTCACATGTATGGCTATGAAGACAAAGAAAACTAACCAAAACAGAATTCTGATTTAGCTTAGGCTCAGCCTGTCCCAAGATTTATACACTTTATATACGTAGCTTTGGTTAGTACTTCCCTTGAATTCAGTTCTGAATATGACAAACCTCAGTAAGAGTCATTTAGCATTCCACCTAATAAGGAAATTGAAAGAAAACTTAACTGAAAAGCATGGCATACAATTAGAGGAGAAGAAAAACAAACAGTGAAGTTGTTTTTATTAACATAATGCTCATATATTACTGCAATATTTCAAGACAGTAAGATGGGCTGAGTTTAGATCATCTGCTTTGATTCATTATTACTAACATACAGCTACCATTCTTTTGCAATGGCTTTCAATTACACTTGTTGAAAAGAAGTGAAAAAGCAATGTTACAGTCAAAGTTGCACTATACTAATTCTGTGTAAGGAAAGATAAGAAAGATAAGTGTTGTAACCAACAATACTTGTTCCAGGATTCATATTTTCTGGTAAAAATGGTACATGTTAAAACATAGGGTTTTTACCTTGCTTTACTAAACAATGACTTTCCATTAGAAATGAAATGATGCTTTGTAGTTTTTGAAAATATTTTATGCAATTATTAGAGTCCCTTAAACTGTGTAGAAGATAATGTGAAGATGTTATATTTTCTCAATTTCCTAAAATACTAAGTCAAATTAAGAAATATATGTGCTGATGTACACTTTTGTGTCAGTCAGCTTGCCAAAAACTTCCACTCAAAATAAAAGGGAGCAAACATAGGGATCTGTTTCTTCCTGAATATGCAGAAAAACTAAGACATTTTCTGTAGCTTAACTGCTTTATTTTATTTGATCAAAGATATGGCTTTCCCTTTGTCTTTTCAAAAGTTCAGAATTATTAAATACAACACAGAGTATATTGACAATTTCGTGAAACCTAAAACCAAACATACTTTATTAAAGGTTGTTTTTAAAAGGCTTGTGTATGCACATGTGAGGCACTAAAAACCACTCTTTTCTGCAATACTTTTAATGAGCCTTCTTATTGCTTGACCAGACTTTACATAACATGCACTGCCAGGGAGCTTTGTTTTTCCCTGGAGCATTGTGATCTCTACTATTGTTTATAAATCTCATTCAAATAGCTTATGTATTTCCCAGTGGATGTACCTATAGCTACTAGTCCATTATGTTCTACAAGGGCTCATGCAACGTCTGAGTCCAGATTACAAGATTCTTACTGGCCTTGAGCCAATCGGCAAAGGGAGTAGGTTTTGCTATGCGATTTCATTCCAGAAGACTTTCAAATAAATTGTCAACTGAATCCTGAGTACTTACAGGGCTCCAGCTGTTGTGTCAGATCACTATACACAAAATGAGCTGGATAAAAGTGAGCTTCCTATTAGTGGTGTCATAGCTGGCAGTTGCTGAACAAGACTGTCTCTTTTTCTGCTCATTATCCTGGCAGCGCATCCCCTAGCCATTTTGCCTTCAGTTCCCAGGGCATGGATCTGTGGGTCCCCTGTCCCATTAGTCAAAGAACCGTGTTGAATCAGCCCATAAACCATCAACCCCTCCTCTTTTTTTTTTTTTTTTTTTTTTTTTTTTGGGGGGGGGGGGGGGGGGTACCCTGCGGGCCTGCTGTCCCCCTGTCATGAACACAGATAGATATAGAGATAACTCTGTGACAAGTGGTCACACAAAGATTTTCTAACAAGAGTATGCTGGCTTACACTTTTACATACATAAGTGTAAGAACATTCAGTTTGACACCAACACTACCAAAACATTTAATGAGGAGAAAGACAGGTTTCACGGCTCAGATTTTGTTTGTAGTGCAAAAAGTGATCTTAAAAGTTTGCAAGAGTTTAGAGAAAGAAATAGAAGAAGAAAACTGATAAATATGTATGGAAGCAGCCAAATGCAGATTTGAACTTTGAATGTGTTACTTTTTGTTGTTTCGAACAATAGAACAACATTTTGATCCCACAGGTGAATTACGTGGTTACTGCATTATGCACATTCTAAAAGGTGTGGAGAACAACCCACATGTGACATGAGTATTTACTTATCACCCATCTCTCTCTTACTCAGTGTTTAATTGAAATAAATCTTCACGGTTTCAGTATTTCAGTTGTTTCATGCCTGTGCTTCACACGAAAACATGAGAAAATTAAAAAAATATATTAGAGAAACAATATTCGTGAAATCATACCATTCCCTCAATAGCCTTCTCCCCCTTGAATTGGAATTGATTTCACTAGTAGCTTCCTACTTCACTGACAAACAACACAACTTTCACAACAAAATATATATTGAAACTGTACATACTCTGAGGAAACCTGGGTGGATTGTCGTTGACATCAGTGAGCGTGATATTTACTGTTGTTGACCCTGACAGCCCTCCAACCTGCCCAGCCATATCTTTGGCTTGAATGACAACAGAATAATGCTCTCTGGCTTCCCTGTCCATGTTATGCAAGGCAGTCCTGATGACTCCTGTGGTGGAAAGAAAACAAACAGAAGAAAGAAAAGTGAGGATTAGCTTGTTATAGCAAAGGGAAATGCTAAGCACAGCTGTTCTTTTCAGGAAAGGTAGAAGAATAGAATGTTTTTTCTGAAAACACAAAGCTTTTCTATAATCCAAATCAGCTGGGTTAAGATGATATTCATAGTTAAAAGCCAATTGGTTGCTTCCTGTGTACAAACAAATAATAAATAATGGATTATATACAGAGTGTTTGAGAGTGCTTCACTATCTCTTCTTAGAGCAAACATGCCAGATGCTAGCCAGTCAATTTGCTTGAGACTATGAAAAAACCCACAAAACCTCTGTGTCTGGTTGCTCTGAAAGTAATGCCTCCTGTTTATTTACATGGAAACTACAAAAAAGAGCACAGTCACTCCATCTGACAGAGCAAATGCACAGCTACAAAACACTGTTTTCAAAGACAGTTGTCACTAGCTATGCATTTTGGCAGCAATGAACAAGAGCCTGGATGCTGCACTGATAAAAATCTGCTTGAGCAGAAGTGACCTACTGTTGTTGTCACTGCTGAAATGCACCAACCCATGCCATGGTGTCAACATAATAAAACAGCAGTCATTACTTCAGGAGCAGCCCTCAACAACTATATTAGTAAATTAACAAATAATGAATCCAGCATCACTAAAATGAACTCAGTTACTATAATTGTTTAAATATCTACTTAACAGAACTATTAATCAGAATTAATACTTGAGTGGAGAAGACATAGATAACTTTTTTTTTAAAAAAATAAAAGTTCAGAATAAGGCTGCTTCCCTTTGAAAACTACCCCAACACGTACTTCCTTATTTACATTTATCAATCATGCACACTTTTCTTCATAAGTGTATGAAAAGTGAAGGATAAGCTTTCATTGTTTCTACTACTGTACAGAAAGAAAAATAAAACTGAGTAAGACTAAAATTCTATTTCTCTTTATGCATAATAAACAGGAATTTATCTTAACATTTAGTCAATCATAAATGCACAAGGAAAGATTAGTATAAAGGAGTAACAGTCAACTCTGTGAGTTCAGTTCTAGTGTTGGTATATCTTTCATTCATTATGATGTCTGCAAATGGTAATTTATTTGATCACAGGCTGACAGAAAGTTCATGGAGATCAGTAAATGGAAACGTCAAGTGCTGCAATAGGGAAGAAATAAGACCAGGCACAACCAGTCCATGGTGTGATGAGATGGAAAAATAATTCCACTGGTGAAAAAGCAATTGAAAAAAGACAGTTGTAAGAAACTTTAGGTTTCTGAGGTACACAATAGGCGGCTTATTACTTAAAATTTCTCAAAGGTATCAGTATCAGGAAGTGCTATGCTTCAACCTGGCAGCAGCTCAGCAGCAGTTTTTACTCTCTCCTGCCTCCTAGAGGAATTGGGGAGGAGAAATGGAAAAAAAATAGTAATGATAATAGTTATATTAGTAGTATGTTAATAGTAAGCATATATATTAAAAAAAAGAAAAAAAAAAAGGACAACACAATTGCTCACTATCTGTCTAACAGCACACAGCCTTTACCCAAGGAGAAGCTGCTTCCCTGGCCAACTCCCCTCCATGTTACAGTTTTTTCATTTTCATAGGCCTTTTAAATTCAAATACAGCCTGAATCTTTGTCTTGTATTTGTTGGGCACTATTGCTACCTTGCTAGTTGGCAACTTCTCAGCTGTATTTCCAATATTTATTCATCTTTATTGAAAAAGGAAAGGAAGAATAAAAAAGTAAATTGTATAAATCATTACAAAAACTCCTCCATACTGTTTTTGATATTAAGGATGAGTTACATTAAGGAAGAGACAGTTAGGTTAAAAACTGTATACATCACGTGGAAGTTTAGACCGCGGCGCAGAGTTGCAGATGCAGCTCTGGAGCACGGGACTGCTAAGTCTAGTCATATCAATTTCCATCTTAAATTATGTGAAATCTGTTTTCCCACATGGAAGACTACTCTTGAACATACTTTTTCTTCAAACTCACCTAAATTTATGCACCCCTACATCATAGTCATTTTTGTTGTCTTATTTTTTTTCCCTAATAATTTCTAGTTTTGAACTGTACAATTTGAGTTTATCTTTCTTTATCATTAATGACCAGATACTTGCCTGCATTCCAGTTCAGACTTCATAACCACAATTATATAAAAAAAAAAAAAAAAAAAAAAAAAAAACCCTGAACCACTTTTGCTTCAGCAACAGTCTAATTTGTTATGGGCTAATTATTTTTTTGTATGGAAAATACCCATCCTGCTGTTGCATCATGTGTACAGTCAATGAACATATAAATGTTATAATTACAAAATAAACAAGAGATTTTGACAAAGAAGATTATAATAACAAATAGAGAATAGATAGAAAGCTTACCCACATCATGGGCTCGCTGCAAAACTCCAGAGGAGGGATCTCCAAAAAAAGACTCTTTCCTCCTGCTAGTCAGCTCTTAAATGGGTCTAGGAGAGGTGCAGCCAGGCTCCACCCCTTCCAGCAGCACGGGTGAATTGCCTTCACTTGTGCTCCCAGGGCTGACTCATTGCTCACCTCAGGTGATCAATCAGAGGTTGAGGCAGTGATTCAGCAGTTACCACACAATCCTGCTAATCAGTAGATTTTCTGAATGAACAATAGGTTTTACTAGATCTCTTATACTCTAGTTTCTTATTTGTGTGTCTTGTCATAAACACAACCATCAAACTGATTTTGTAAATTTTACTAATTACTGAGGAAAGAGAACTGCTACAGATGGCAATTTCATTAGTATTACTTTTATATTTTGAACAAAAATACCTATTTTTATACCTGTTTTGCTTTAGGATACATAGTTAACTTTTTTATTTTATCTTAATGTGCTGAATATATTATATATACTAACATACATTTCAAAATCTAGTACTATTCTTCCTTGAAAGAACTTGACATATCCCTTTTGTGAGAAGGAAGGAGGACTTCTATGGGTTTTGACTTTCAATTTATTATTAGTGGTGAAACCTCTTAATGAGTAACAGCCTGAATTTAGAAAAAAAAAAAAAAAAAAAAAAAAAAACACCAAACTGCCAAAACCTCCCAAATTAAGGGACTGGAAGAGATCTTCACTGACTGAGCAGAAAACACACTAATTTATGTGGTAATTGTGAGGATGCCAAATGAAATCATAGCATCTTCCACTGTTTCCATAATGAAAAACATAATCAAATGAATTAAATTAAGAATATGCTGCCATGCTGCCTGCCAACAAGCAGAGAAGCAACACAAATCTGCCACATAAAATTGCTGCAAATCAAAGGAATCCATGTTACAGAAATACCATAGCAACGGGACACCCTATTTGAGCAGGAAGCTGTCATTCTTTCTCTTGTCAATAGTTAAAGCATATGTATATAGCTTACAAATTTTTCAATTCTGTTCAATTAAAATTGTTCATACTTTCTGAAAAAAGTAATTTTTTTTCTCAGCATCTTGTAATCTGGTTGAATTAGGACACTACCACTAGGGATGTCTCTCCACTGAAATGATGTACATGTTCCATTGACTTCAGAGCACTAATACTTCCAAATTATTGCCCTTTGGAAAGGTATCTACTGGATTTAGAAGTATTGGATTGCTAGTTTATTCCACTCTGATTGTAGTTATTCCTGCAAACATTAACTCTTCCCTTTGGCTCAGAAATCTGCATTAAAATTATCAGCTAATACAGTATTGAAATAAAACCAATATTCTGGTGCAAATCTTAGTATCTAATAACATAAAAGATCAGCCTGCTGCACTGACATTTCCATGCTGCTTTCATACTCAAATTCTTTCATCAAATCTAAGCCTGGTGTGGACTCAACGTGGCTGTAAAGATAGGGGTGTCTTTTATTCTTTTCTGTTGAATAGTTAAAACACAGGTCTCTATGTCTGTGGACCTCTACACACTAAAACTCAAGTTTTTAGCACAACTCCAGTGGTAGCTGGTAGGTTGTCTGGCAGTAACTTGAAGTATGGTGTATAAATTTTTTTCTGTGTTTCTGTTTCTAACAAGAAAGAGTTAATCATGATGAGTAAAATGGGTCTATATTGTGGACCAATGAAGCTAGAAATTGTTTTTAATACAAAAATGAAGATGAAACAGAAAAAGATGCTTCTACCATAATAATGAAACAGTAAAATATCGAGTCATTAGATTTAGTTGGGCACATTATGACATGCAGCATCAATTCTGTAAATATTTCCTAGTTCAAGGGAACATCTTATAACTATCTACACAAAACAAGCATGAGCTGAACTATAAGAGTGCAGATGGCCTTGATTTTCCAAAAATATTTTCAGATTCTCTAAGACAAAACAAATCAGTAGTGGGGAAGTCATGCAGTCACCACCTGGGCAGTCCAAAAGGTGGGCTGCAGAGTCACCGGATGCTACAAAATTGTCCAAAGCTCCTAATACCTAGTTTAAATCTACCCTCTACCCATTTAAAGCTATTTCCTTCATCCTATCACTACATGCCGTAATAAAAAGTCACTCCTCAGCCTTCCTATAGGCCCCTTCAGGTACTGGAAAGCCATTTAAGGTCTCCTGAGAACCTTCTCTTCTCCAGACTGAAGAGCCCTATCTCTCTCAGCCTGCCCCCATAGCGGAGGTGCTCCAGCCCTCTGATCATCTTCATGGCCCTCCTCTGGACCTGCCCCAACAACTCCATGTTCTTCTTGTGTTCGGGGCTCCAGAACTCGATGTAGCATTGCAGGTGGTGTCTCTTGAGATCATTATCAAACTCATTGCACCAAAGTAGATATAAATTTTGAAATTAGTCAAAACTTTGCAATTCAGATGCTTCTTAAGCAACATTTTCAATATTTCTTGGAAAGTAATGTAAGCATAGCTTATGTTTTAGTACAATTTATACAACTTGATACACTCACTGTCAAAATACATTTCTCCAAATAACTGATACTGAAGTTTAATGGTAAATTATTTATCTAAAGATTCCC